GAAGTGACTCGGAGACTTCAGAAAACTTCTTAAAAAGATAACTATGGGGGCGCCTGGGTGCCTCAGTGGGTTAAAACCTCTGCCTTCAGCTAGGGTCATGATCCCAGGGTCCTGGGATCGAGCATGGGGCTCTCTGCTCAGCGGGGAGCCTGCTTCCTCCTCTCTCTCTGCCTGCCTCTCTGCCTACTTGTGATCTCTGTCTGTCAAATAAATAAATAAAATCTTTAAAAAAAAACATAACTATGAACAGAAATTAAAATAATATCTGTTTTATGTTAATTACATTAAAATGCGACATAAAATAATGAATACATTAGCATTTTCTTGGTTGTGAACTTTAAGAGCTATTGATTGCTTAAATACATTTTAGTCAGCCTTTTCCTTTGGGGTCAAAATAATTAACATCACCATATATATATCCTCTTCAGGAAATCATGGACTTGAAAAATTAACTTCATTAGTGTATCTTATAGTTCATTAGGCTATCCTATAATTCCATATCTAAAATCTACCATGGGTTAAAATTTTGCTTTGCTTTTGCTTAAAACCCCCCAAATTCTCCCAAAGATATCATATTGCTAAGGGGCAAAAATATTTAAAAAACAGCTATGTAAAAAATAGCCAATACTTCATAATATTTTAGGAAAAAATGCTTTTTGGTATCTGAAGTTTTATTTAGATTCTTTTTAAAGATTTTATTTATTTATTTGAGAGAGAGAGAGTACAAGTTGGGGGAGGAACAGAGGCAGAGGCAGCCCCAGCTCAGGGCGCAATCCCAGGACTCAGAGCTCATGACCTGAGCTGAAGGCACACACTTAGCCAACTGAGGCATACAGGAGTCCCTATTTAGATTATTTTTCTAAAGACTGTTGTTTATGTTTTCTACCATGGTTTAATGAGTTTTGGGCAATTTGTGCTAATGTTATCTGTCCACACACCTCACTATTTTCTTGATTTGGCCCATTGTCTCTCCATTATACACAAAATGTATAAACATTTTTGTTTATATGAGACAATCTTTTTCCCCAAAAAATGCTTATATAGGCTCCCTTGTTTCTTATTTTCTTCTATTCATTTATCTGATGTGTACTACATTATTTGGCTAGCTGCTTTTGGATTTAAGTAAACCTGAAGATTAGAATATTTTTATTTATTAATTGTTCCCATTAATGCAGAATTTGGGGGCAGTCCTCTCATTCTCTCTCTGTCTCTCTCTTTTTTTTTTTTGAATAACTGATTATCACATTTATTCTTCACTTCCGTTACATTACAGTTTTTTTTACACAGAATGAGAGCCATGGGTTAAAACTGTGTTGTCTTATTAGCTGTGAGACTGTGGGGCCACTCAGATTGCCTAACCTCATTTCCTCAGTCTTCTCATCATTAACATGGGGCTAATAATTACACCAACAGTGTGGTTGAAATGTCAGTATTAAGTAAAATAATTAATGTAAAACATCATGTAATGCTTCACACATAGCACATTTTCAGTAATTACTAGCAATTCTGCTTATTATAATTGCTTTTGTTGTTCCACTTTGAATTCAGTGAAGATATTCAGGATTATTAATACATTGAACTTAACTATAGTACCTTTTATAGGGTAGTAACCTTTCAAGGTGTCTTATCAAGGTGATTCTGAATTTCTTTCCTAGTGAAAGCTTAGCAAAAAGCCAAATCCACAGTGAAATCCAGAGAGACATCAGCCACTTTCACCTTTTGAGGCCACAGCGGTTATCCCAAGCAAGAGAAATGCAAACAATGGGACTTTCAAGCCCTTACTGAGGTTTTAGCCTCTTCTGGTGCAAGGTAGTAAAGTATGAAGGAAAAAGACAAATCTAGTTTTCATGCAATACTGTGGTCCAATGTCAGTATGCTAAGATAGTATTTACATTCCAAGAAAACTACACAAGACCAGATATAAGTTCTCTTTTGAGACTGAGGCCCAAATCAAACCATCCTCATTGCCTTGATTAACTCTTTCATTGCTGTTAGTGGGGCTCCATTTTATAGCTGTTCATTCTTTCAAGGACATATGACAAATGTTATTTAAAAAACTTGATGAAGATGGCTGCTATTTAAGGTGAAGAAAATTAAGGAGTTGGCTTTCTGTAGCCTTAGTCAATTAAAGAAGACTTCAGTATTTTGGGTAGGAGATAATTACCCACCATAGTGAAGAGCGTCCCAAGTTTTCTTTGACATACCCAGTTTAAATTCCTTTCATCCCAATACATAAACTTATAGTTGTTAAATAATTGGTTCCAGTTTTTCATTCAGAGAATATTGCCATTGTGTTGACTGACATACATCATAAGCTATGGATACTTTGAGAAGGAAAACCAAATCAATTCTTTTTGTGAAAAGATCAATCTTGATTACTTATACTCTTTGGACACTGGGAAGGATTTTAGATGAGAGAGATGTGTGGGAGGGAAAGGGTTAAATATTTTTAGGGGGTGAATCTTCTTTGGGATGGAATGCCAGGTATAAAAATGAAGAGGTATGAGCTATTTAGGGAATACTGAATTTCAAAACTTAAGGTAAAGTAAAACAGCAAATTTATTTAAGATTTTTGTAGTAGAATACTTTCAATGCCAGGCTGAAGAAATTGAAAAATTCTGTACTCAACAGTAAGTAATTGGAGATAGGTGAACAGGGTAGTAACATAGAAATGCAAAGGATATGGAAGTAAAAGGAACTTGAAGATCATTTTCTCCAAATCATTTTATTGATGAGGATACTGAGACCTATAGAAGTAAAGTAGCAGGCTCAAAGTCCCCTTAAACTGCCTACGTTCCATAATAGTATTATTACGTATCCCTAGGTTTTAGATAACTTAGTTGGTATTCTGTGTAGATATTTTTAAGTAATTCAACTATAATTTGGAAGGAGGAGTTTACATTTTGAATGGTCTTCAAATAGAAATATAAAATTCAACTTTGTATCCCAACTTTCCATCAGGTTTTTTGCCAAACTGAAAGGCTGATTCACTGCCATTTCTTTAAATTCGCTTCATGCATTTGGAGCACATTATAATGAAAAGAAGCTGCTTTTAGATTTCTGGTGCCAAAACATTTCAGAAAAAACAAAAAACAAAACAAACCAAAAAAAAAAAAAAACAAAGATGAGCTTCCACCTCTTTATAAAATTGCATCACTGCTTCTTTGTTCTTTCATCTTTATTACAAATATTTAAACAGAAAACAAATGTCATCAGCTAAAGATGACGAGAAATTTATTGTGAAGACAGACTCTAGATGTCAAAGCTAGTGAGGGGACTCCCCTTCTTGAGGTGCGAATGCAAACCCAATCTTCACAGTAGTTACTAGACCACAAATTAAACAAGATACCTTTCTCCCAAACTCACACTTTTGGTATATGTTTTATTTGCTGTATTTACTACAATTGCCCTTCAGATGTATCTCTTTGAAAGAATGAATGAGAAAGTTGAAGAAAAAATATTAAAAGCAAGAGAATACATAATAAAGGTGAAGCATAGAAAGTCAATTCTTTTAAACCAGTTTTTTGGTAATTTATTTGTAAATCTCTCAATGCAGTAGAATACACGAAATTAAAATAATATTTTTTAAACCCTGAAATTATTTGACCCGTGCTAATTTCACCGGAATTAATTGCCTATAGCTGCGTATCATATAATTTCTAAAGTTCTGTAACACATTCTATCAATGAAATTAATGAATTAAATGATCACATCGTCAAGTACCTGGCACACTACAAATATCAGTCAGTCAAATTCGTTGACTCCCTGAAATTTCAATTATAGTCACGGTGTCTATATTTAGAAATTCTACAATTTACTTCTGAAGGAAGCGTTGACTAATTATCCCATCCCAGCTGCCAAAGTATTGGAAGAATAGAAAGGGGGAGCAGCAGCGAGCGATATGGGTGTTTGGGAAACTAGCCACGGACCAGCACAGCCCGCGAAGACGTGGTTATGTGACAAGGTGGCTGATGCCACAAGCCCGCGATGGGCAGCAGGCACGGTGCCAAACCGAAGGACCCGCGTCTCCAAGGGCGGCCGGCGGAGCCTAAGGCTGATTTCCCTTCCGCCTCCCGGGAGCCCCGGTGTTCGCAGGCACTGTCCAGAGAATTCTTCGCCCCAGTTCTCCGGGGAGGAAGACGCGCCTTTCCCGGAGACCGCCAGGCAACACTCACCACGGCAGCCTCCCGACCACTTCCCTCCGCGAGTGTGTGCCTTCGTCTAAACAGCTCACACTTACAGTAGATGCTCGCTGGCGAGGCTGCGAGCAGCAGAGGGCGGGGGAGCTGGCGAGAGGAGGAGGGGGGAGGAGGGGAGGTGCAGAGCTGGGAGGCAGAGGAGACGACGGAGCTCCAGACCCAGGAGGAGCGCGCGGTGGCGGTGCAGTTTCCACCGCGTCCTCCCAGCCGCGCGCGCGCCGCCTCCTCCCCGAGCCGCGGGGACCGCCGCAGCTCCGGGCTGCTGCCGCCGGGCTCCGCGCTCCTGCCCGCTCGCCGCCGCCAGGACCTCCCCTTGTCCGCGCTCAGCCCGCAGCTGTTTCCTTCTGCCAGGCTCGGAACTCTCCGGATCTTTTCCTCCGCTCGCCTCGCTCGTATTTTCTCAACTCCTTTCCTTTATCCGTAGCCACCCTGTCTTTTCCTCCTCTTTTTAGTGAGGATCTTTCTTGACTTACGATGACTTGTCTCCCTTCCCTTCGTCGTTTATTTCAGCCCTGAAGACTGAAAAGGAATCTTTATCTTCCCCTCAGGGGCATTTTAAAGACCCCAATCCTGAAAAGTCTTAAGAGGCAGAGAAGCAGGACGTGGGACCCTCTCGACACCCTGGTGTCCGGTCCAGAACCGCGCTCTCAGCCATAGCTAGTATTTAATGTAAGCCCCACCGAGGAGAAGGGAGGCAGGAGCCGGGAGCAAACTTCGGACGTCTCCGCGGACCCGCGGTCCCCGCATTTGGAAGAGCCGCGCGCCAGAAGGCAAGGGACCCCACGGGGAACGCGAAGGCGCCGCGAGCCTCCCTCGCCCCCTCCGCGAAGCCGGGGCCGTGGACTGAGACGCGCGGGACAGCGGCGGCGGAGGCGGCCAAGAGAAGATGCGGGGCTCGGGGCCCCCGGGTGCGGGACGCCGGAGGCCCCCGGGCGACGGCGACATCCCCAGCACCCCTGCATCTCTGGCCGGCTGCTACTCCGCACCTCGCAGGGCCCCCCTCTGGACTTGCCTCCTCCTGTGCGCCGCGCTCCGGACCCTCCTGGCCAGCCCCAGCAACGAAGGTAGGTTGGGGGTGGGGACCGCAGCGACCTGGGGCGGAGGGGCGAGGCGGGGCCTGGAAGTGCGGGTCGGGGCGGTCTGGAAGCTGCCGCCGCGGACGAAATCTCCCTCCGCATCGCCAATTCACATGTGTCCGGTTTCGCCAGCCTTCTCGCCCCCCTCTGCTGTTTCTGGGTGCATTGTTTGCCCTTAGGTGCGGGGCGCCGGGCGAGGGACCCGCGTGCGGACCGAGGCTGTTTGGGGGGCTGGGAAGTTGCACGCGGGGGAAGGAGAGGTCCGAGACCCGCGCCGGGAGGTTGGGTGCGGCTGGTTCTCACTTGGAGCGCGTGGGGAAGTGACATTTCGGGCTTGGAGGAGTGGGAACTGTTCGAAGCTCAGCGACCACGATCTCGGGAGCGGGGGGCTTAGAAACCGTTATTTGAGGCCGGCGATGGGAAATATTGTGGGGGTGACTGGCTGCTTTTATTTTGGGGGAAAGTGCCTTCTGGAAGCTGTTATTTAGGGCATCGCCAGCTGCTATTCTGGGGTGGGTGGCGAGAGCTGTTATTTCTCGAGGGAGGGGAATGGCGAGGGACAGAAGGCGCCCACACTGTGGGGTGCCCTTCACTTTGGGGGCTCATCGTCACATCGAGGTGAAAGTGGAAGAAGGCGGGAAGGTGGGATGCGGCGGGAGGCGGAAGAGGGGTGGAGTGTCGCTGCCAGGAAGTTGCTGCTCGAACCCACTAGGGCTCGTGTCTCGGTGTTTGCGTGACGGAAAGCCCCGCTCTGGCCCGAGCCCGAGCCTGGAGTCCCCAGCCCTCCTCCCCACCCCCAATCCTGCGCTCCGGACTCTGAAGCCGTGTCAGCCTTCGGCGGGGCGGGAGAGTCGGCCCCGCGGGAGCAGCACCTCCGTGGCGCTCGTTGCTCCCGGAGCCGTGCTCAGTTCCCGGGCCCGCCACAGCTCGGGCAGCCGCCCTTGGCTCTGGGTCTGCTCCAGCTGCGCTGGCTCCTCTCACACCCCCGCCGCGCTGGGGCTCAGCTCAAAGGCTCGTTCCTCCAGAATGGAGGTGGGAGGTGTAGCGTCTCAGATCCCGATCCGGGCTGCAGGGAAGCGGTCAGCTCCACCGTGGAAACATCAAAAACCCTAACCCCCGGCTGGAATACTGGGGTTTCGATTTGAATCGGCTCCGCAAGCCACGGGTGAGGCACAGAGCCTTGGGGAAAAAAAAAAAAAAAAAAAAAAAAAAAAAATCCCTTCCACTCCTAGGGCTGGGGACGCTGGACCAGAAAGATGAAGCAGCAGCCTTCGGGGTCGTGTATGTCCTCGTGACTTGCACGGGTTGTGTGGCTGCAGGAGAAGGCGCTGAGCTGGTTTAGGAGCGCTGCCAGCTCCCTAGGAACCCTGTGAAAGCGGGGCCGACTGCTACTCCCGGCCCCACCCCACCCCACCCCGTGAACTTCTCTCTTTAACCCTCACATTTATTGTTTTAAATCTGATTTAAAGATTCTGTGTAGCTCAGTCTAGCTAGCTAGCTAGCTATGGTAATCTCTCATGCTTAACCCCATCTGCATCTTTCCCCCTTCTCTGTAAAGTTGAAAAAGTGTTTTCAGTCATAGTCGTTTTATTAACCTCTCATGTTAGATTCATGATGTTAGAAGTCCTGAAGATGGTGACAGGGTTTGGAGTCCTTTTATGAACTGTCGTATGCCACCGGAAGGGGCATCCTGGTTTGGATTTAAAGAGTAACAGGGATAGTACTGTCATTCATCCTTTCCTGTTCCCATTATATTTCATTCCCCCCCTCCCCAGGTGTGATGAAGGAAGTGGTTTATGTAGAGATGAAGGGGAGTAGAAGCTTTCCGTTAGGGAAGGAGGAAAAATGTTGTCTCTAGGGCCAGGACTGCGCCTGGGAGGAAGAGGCAGAGGGAATGGGAGAGAAGCTAGGAAATAGCACTGGCTTCTTAAGGTGATGTAAGCAGAGCTCAAATCTTCTGGAAGGTAGACTGGTTGATATCACAGACCTAACAACCACAGGTTGTCTTGTCCTTATGCCAGCTAGTAGAACACACAGCAAAACTTTGGCCCTAGTGAGGTGGGGATTGCAGGGGTCTATCACTATTTCACATAGTAGGAAATAAAATCGTATTAATATATATTATTTTACCTCATTCATTCCATTTCTACCCAACAGTTTTCCATCTTTCCATTGGTATCATCTCAGAACATTACTTCTGTTCTATAAAATTTATGCTCCCCTTTCTGTTTCTCCATGTGTTATTATAAATCAAACAATACTATATTAAGATACTAATAATAGGAATTTATTAATTTGTTTAAAGATTCCAATTGGAGTTTTTAAGTTTGTTTTTGATTGTTAATTTCTGGAAGGTCTTTGGAAGATCAGGGGCAGAAAGATTTGATGTATGCACAGCATCCATTAATAACTTGCTCTCATATACTTTGCCTTCTGCAACCTATAGATACCTAGTGACTTCCCAGACTATAGTGTGTGTGTGCATATATATATGGGTGTGTGCATATATATATATATATACATATATATATATATATAATATGAATGATCCCATTATGTGAGAAAAAAATTCAAGGCAGATAGACATAAATGTGACTTTACATTCACAATTTGTATTCTAGTCATTTTTAAAATTTAACTTTGGTAGACATAAATAAGCAGAACTGTACAGGAAAGGCCAAACATACATCTAGAATCTTAAACTGAGATGGAATGAATGTTAAGATATATTGGATAAAAGACAATAAGAAGAAAATGTACTCTTTAGACTGATTTCTAAGATAAGAAAAAAATACATTGTCTTTTTACATATATTAGGAATTAATTACATGTGGAAGAAACCTTTGAACTCTGGTGTAATACAAGACACTTTTATTATAAAATAATTCAGAAGCATATTTAACAAGAAACTTATCTCTGAGATTGATCAAGCAGGGCAAACATTAGCAAGTATATCAACAAGTGAAAATGTTAATAGATTTAATAAGTAAAGAGAGCATGTCCACTTTTATGAATATTGGAGGTGGCCCTGAACTTATTCAGTAACTGCCACTTTTTGCTGTCTGGAGATATATTTGTAAACAAGCATTATTTGACAAGTGCTTTTCGCAGCAGGGTTTCTTGGCCAATTACTGCTGAACAGCTCTGCATTGAAAATGATTCACCCGCAGTGAATCAAGCTTAATTCATTGAAGCTACAGTCAGTGATGTCCCAGTAAAGTGCTTCTGACAGTTGTCAGCACTTAGTATTCAAAAAGTCCAGTTTCTTGTTTCTGATGTTTTCTACGTTTGAGAAGGTGGGGTAGAGGGACTCTTGGGGGAAAAACACACACGCACGCACACACACACACACACATACACACACACACAGTGAAGACATTTTAGGCTAAACTGTTAAAGAATCATAAAATTGTAGATGTTTCCACTGGAAAGAAAGGAAAAAAAGAGTTTGTTTTAGGGTTTTTCTTGGTTTATAATAGGACCAGGCCCATAAAACAGATTGAAGGACATAATAGATTTGTAAACTAAATGGCTTTGTTTTGTGGCCTTGTCATCCTGTTATAATTCATTTCCTTTTAGATAAAACGGCAGGACCCCACAGAAAAGGGACAGTAAAATCATTCCCTCACCAGGACACTACTGAACAAAAAAAGAGAGCAATTACCCTTATTTGAATCTTAGGTGGTTAGAAGGGAGAGGCCATGAAGAGTTTGGCTTTTTGCTTTATAAAGCATGAAAGAGGGGTAAAGGGTTGACTCTTTAATTTTAAGCTTTTTTTTGAAGTAGACAAAAATCTTGGGTGTAGGGTGACAGGGTGAGAAGATTTCATTTCCTCATAGAAGACAGAGGAGAGGGTGGACAATTCCTGCATTTATAATGAAAATTTCTCCTTTTGCTGAAAATACTGTTTTTGTAATATCACTTTATTTCAATCTACATAGGATTAAAGGGTTTATTTTTTTATACTTAGAAGCATTATTGTACTTATTGTTATTTATATTATTAATACTCTTCTCTACAAAATGTGACCATTTAGAATATTTCTACATAAAATGTCAAAATTAGGTGATACAGCTATTTATAGACAAACATTGCCAAACTATATAATTAGATACTAGACTTTATTCAATATTGCTACTGTTGCGAAAATGACTGTGCTTTAGTTACTTTCACTACATTTTTGCTGATTGACTTGACCACTTGAATCTCCTTTGTTTGGAGTGCTTTCTTATTATGTATTTGCTTGAATGACTAATTAATTTCCCTTTCATTTGGAGGAAACCATTCTACCTTTGACTATAAAAATAGACTATGATGTGCATTATTATATTAACTAACTATAGCTATTTTTACTTATATGAGTCAAACTTAATGTTCTTTTTAAAAAAAATGTGCTGCTAGTATCTTAAAGACATAACTACTATAGAAAGTATTGTTAACTCTTTTTACTTCATTTTTTGCATTTAAATTACCAGATATATTTCATTTTACTAATGAGTGGTTTGAATTTAAATTAACAGAGTTACCTAGTTATTCAAATATGATTTATGCATTTTTTACCATTTTAAAATAGTTTTACAATTGTTTTCGTAAAGCATCAAAATTAACTGAAGTTTGAATATGCGTCCTTGCTTATTACAAACCATTAAAAATTGATTGCAGTATTTGTCCATTTTTCCCTTTCAGAAAGAGTATATTTTTATTATAAAAGCGATATTCAAGCAAAAAAATGTAAATTATCACCTTAGAGACTCTGAATGACTCTTGCAGTTCTTATATCTTTGTATGTATTTATCTGTAGAGCAGAATAGCTCCTACTGGTAGCTCTACTGGGTAACCACACGTTTCGTTATTTTATCAAAATTTATGTAATCCAGTTGGTTAGGTGGTGATTTCTTTGAAGGAGTTATCCTAGTCTATTGTATACATAACACACCTAATGTATTTTTAAATCACATTAAGAATTGTATCCCAGATGTGGTGGTACA